ATGTCTGAATGCATGAGTGTATGAATGAGCTACAATCTGTGATCATATGAAATAAATAGATACAAAGGAAGTAAAGAAAAGAACTTAAGCAAATAATAAATAAATGAAATATTACTTTCATACATAAAAAACGGGAAGACATCTTAAGTTAACGACATAGAAAACGGAGCACTTCCATTACGAAAAATGAGAAAACATCTGAGGTGAACGATAAAGAAAATGGAGGATCGCTCTTACAGGGAGAATTATAAAACAAGAACAAGTGATATATAATAACAAGATAGAACGTCGTTAAAATGAAATATAGATTAAACAAAAAACAAAAACAATAACACAGACAACACTACAGAAAACGGAGAGAATTACCAGAAAAGGAAATACAGAAAACGGAGTACTCACAATACTAAGAGGGGGAGACTTCTCAAAGGTGACCATAACAGGTTGGTGACCAGACTCTTGACAGTTGGCAGTGTAAGCTCAAGCTGAAAGAGAAGTAAATATTCCTCACGTTTAAAACCTCCATCAGTTGTGTCAGTATGGGAGGTAGTGGCTAACTATACACGGTAAACACGGTAGCAAAAAAGCACATTGTTTGTATTAAAAACCGGGAAGAAGTTTAGAATAAGGAAAATAAGCCTAATATTCAATAATAATAATAATAATAATAATAATAATAACACATCTTTTCACTAACAACCCAAAATAACACTTAATAACTGAAGGAAAAATAACATGATAAAATAACAAATATAAAAAAACAGATCTTAACCCCTTGAGTACGATAACATAAACCTTGAGTACGATAACATAAACCTTGAGTACGATAAGTTAACCCTTTGAGAACTATAACTTAACCCTTTGAGTGCGATAATTTCACCCTTTGAGAAAGAAAACTTAACCCCATGAGTACGATGATATAATTTCTTGAATATGGCGTTAGCATCGTTCTCAAGTGATTACAAAAAATTACTCAAGAACTTAATTATTGTACTCAGCATGATGACGTCGTACTCAAGAGGTTAATTAAATGTCATATGACCACTCTAATGACACGGTGACATAATTTCGTGTTGGTAATAAATAACACACCTGTTGGTAGTGATTGTTCGGTAGGGAGTGGGACAGGTGTGGTTCACAGGTGTGGTCCAGAGTGACAGGTGTGACGCTGCTGAAGTCACAGGTGTAAATATGGTGGACAGGACCATCTTATGTTATGTTTGATGGATGGGTGGGTGGATAGGTGGGTGGGTGGGTGGATTGGTGGGATAAGGGTGGTGTGGATGAGTGGGGTGAGATGGGGTGGGGTGATAGGTTGGTTGGGTGGGTGGGTGGGTAGGTAGGTGGATAAACAGACTATGAAATTTAGACACAGACACACACACACACACTCTTCTCCAGCTCTCGTAAAACCTTTGTACTGTCACCCTGGGCATGATATATTGACCACTAGCTAGAGTTACCGTCCCTGGCCGTGTTTGTACAGTGACGCCTATGTCTATCTGCTCGCTTTTTTCGTCCTGGTAATAAAGATGATGATACGAAAATGTGCACAGAGAGGAAGGAACATTATTCATATTGTCTGTCTGTCTCTATTTGGTACCTCTCCCTCTCTCCTTCCCTCCTTATTTTTCTTGACTCTCTCTCTCTCTCTTGTACTATAGTGCTCGCTCGCTCTCTCTCTCTTTCGCACTACTCTTTCTCCATCTGGTGGTTTTCATTTTTATTCTGCGGTATAACGAGTGAGAACAGTTATTATTATTATTATTATTATTATTATTATTATTATTATTATTAAAACGTAATTTAATACCCAACATTAGTAAAAATATATAAATCCTTAGGTTAAGTATTATATTAATTATCATCTTTTTCACGTTTCTTCAACTTTGTCAATACTGGTGACGACCAGGTCTGAGTAGCGGGAATAATATAATGTATTTCACCGTTACTTATAAAGGAGCACTTAATATTTTATGCCTTACAAAATTATTAATATGGGATAAATAGTAGAAATATATTAAAATGATATATTAAGTTATTTTGCTTCGTTTTGGAGTGATTCTGTTAGGAAGAGATAAACTGCCAGCCAAAAGTTGCCTCGACGAAAAAACACTGTGAAATTTTGCATTGTATCCCCTCAAACGATTTCCTCATGCATAGTCAAGCGTTAGCCCTTATCACGTCACCTGCGATAAAAGAATAAAAAGGTGGATATTTACATAACAGAGCCAAGTATGGCGCTCTTCCACAAGGCGAGCATCTCACAGGATTTGGCACAACAATATCATTTCGTACTAAAATTTAATACTTTGCAGCTTGGGGCGGACCTGCCTTCACTGGTTTGTTTACACTGCATCAGTTGCCACTTACCATTTAAAAACAAAATTTATTTGATTCTCCTTTTACTAGACATAGCGACTATAAGGAGTGAAAAGCTTCAGTTACACATATCAATAACATTCAAATGTTTTATATTCTGGACGAAAATATGAAAAGATGAGCGATGACAAAAAAGGTGGATAAAAAACAATAAATAAGCGGTGAGTGGCAGCGACGTCCCCAGCTGGGCGTTGCCTGCTCGACTGGTGATCATTTGGCGAGAAGACTGACCCAGCTCACCAGACTGGTCATGATAGTCGTTAACTGTACCTTATTTTAGCAGAGAAAGTCTTCACCTACCATTTTCTCCTGCTATTGATCATCTCTTAATAAAACATCAGTTGGATCTGCTTTCGAGAACAATATATTAAGTCTCCACCATAAGTTTAATGATCGTTTTTAATAATTTATATTGGAGTAGCACTACAAACCTCCCCCCCCCCCCAAAAAAAAATACTTAATTAAATCCACTGTAATCATTAACATATAACTCGTATCTAATATGTCATCAAGTTGTAAATAACTTTAAATTAAAGGATAATTCTATCTAATCATAAGGCCACCTTCCAATAAACCTAACAACGTGTTTTAGAAGATAGTTTCTCGGTCCTACAGCGAAACTCTTTAAACATCTTTACACTGTCTTTAATTATATCAGTTTCCTTACATAGTGTCTGTAAAAAGTCTTCAACTCGGCTTCTAAATAGTATCCAATAATTATTCTGCCTCATTTACAGCTGATTACTATTACTTCTTGACGTAGATGGACTGTGTTCATGTGCTATATTTCTCGCTTTACAGAACTTTGATCGAACTTCATTAATTTTAATAGAACGTTTCTGAGCTTTATTGAGCCTTGTCGCCATACACAGGTTTAACCTAACTACCGTCACACGATTTACTCATCTGAAGGAAACGTCCAGGAGACAAGGGCGTTGAATCTAATAGAACGTCTAGAATATTTTATTAATCCTAAGTACTGTATAAACTCTGTTCCAATACAGTACTTAACTTATCTTAAAAAAAGAACGTTTAATGTAATTATTCAGAGACGTTCTTAATAACAAACAAAAACAGCTGATTCATAACAACAACAAACAACTTAACACTTCACTAACATATACCGTAAGCCTTTATTGTCTGGAGAGAACACCTGACTACATGTGATGATGTGTGTGTGTGTCAAGAGGTACACTCGCAACAACAAGTATCGGTGCATACTGTAGTGAGAACAATTTGAGACCAGTGACGATAGGTAATGGGAAAGGCGAGTTGTTCCAGCCGTATGTTGGCAGCCCTGATTGTCAGCCATATGGCAACACCTAGTGGAGGGGGGGGGTTATGAGGATACACTTACCAACCTTCCCGACATATCACAGTGTATACGTATCGTTTCGGAACTCGTCGATCTCACCCTGCACCGATACTTATTGGTGCGAGAGTGTACGTGTATAGTAGAAGTGATAAATCGCATTGACTGTATGTGGTGACTCTTTATTCACTGATGTTTTTGTTATTTTTGTTTTTGTTGTTTTTTCCTTATACTTTGTTAATGTTTTCTGTATTTTTTTGTAATTGTTGTGCTTTCTCATTTGTTGGTAATTTTTTATTTATTTTTTAGTTGTTGCCTCTTGTTTTGTTTTTTTAGTTGTGTGTGAATATTTGTATTGATGTGTATAATCATTTTAGATACGTAAAATTACTTGAATTAGCATAATCAGTTATATGCATGTGTATGACCGCTTATATTGTATGGTCGCTTGTATTAATGTTTATGAACATCTGTGTATTATATCACCAAAGCTGTTACCAACAAACAAACGTAAAATAAACTAAGCAATGTATGTCACTAGCTAAACTAAGGAGATTACCAAACATTGTACTACTACTACTACTACTACTACTACTACTACTACTACTACTACTTTTTATCATGTGGCCTCCAGCTTCCCCCAAAAGCCACACCCTCGCCGCCACTTTATTACCTTAAAATTAAATATCCTAATACATAAGTCGTTACCCAAGCTGTGTTGAGTTAGTTAAGCCGCAGATCTATGCTACAACTACTACTAACAACAACAACAATAATAATAATAATAATAATAATAATAATAATAATAATAATAATAATAATAATAATAATAATAATAATATATTCACCTTAAATTGTATTATATTTTATGGTATAATATGTGAAGTAACGTGACGCCATCGTTGACTCCTCAGTTCAAGGTCAATAAACAAAGCAAAGCTCCTCCGCTGCACCAAAATAAATAAACACATGTACAAGAATAAGATAAATTAGATAAACAAATTATATAACTGTGTGTAAAATAAAACCACTTAGAAGGATTTAGGCGTTTGCTCTATATACTGGATACTCGTGTAATGTTGATGTAGTGAACACAAGGTAGGTTGTGGTACAGGGGAGGAGTTTCAGGCCTACATACAATTCAGATTATCGAACCAGTGACCGTGGTGTTGGAAGGCGACCATCCTATCACTGAGCCACGAGATTAATGATACCAATAACTAATGTAATCAATATGAGGTTTTTTCTTCCATCTGTTAGTGATAAAATCTAAGCCTTTTGTTTTTTTTCGGTACGAGTTTCTGACCAGCCGCCCACAGCCCCTCACCAGCCGCCCACAGCCGCTCACAGCCCCTCCTAGCCGTCCACAGCCCCTCACCAGCAGCCCACAGCCCCCACCAGCCACCCAGCCGTCCAGCCCCTCGCCAGCGTCCACAGCCCTTCACCAGCCGCCCAGCCCTTCACCAGCCGTCCACAGCCCTTCACCAGCCGCCCACAGCCCTCACCAGCCGTCCACAGCCCTTCACCAGTCGCCCACAGTTCTCACCAGCCGTCCACACACCAGCCGCCCACAGCCCTCACCTGCCGCCCACAGCCCTCACCAGCCGTCCACAGCCCTTCACCAGCCGCCCACAGTTCATCACCAGCCCACAGCCCTTCACCAGCCGCCCACAGCCCTTCTACAGCCGCCGAAAGCCCCTCACCAGCCGTCCACAGCCCTTCACCAGCCGCCCACAGTTCCTCACTAGTCGTCCACAGCCCTTCACCAGCCCCTCACCAGCCGTCCACAGGCCCCTCACTAGCCGCCCACAGCCCCCCCTCGCTAGTCACCCACAACCTCCTCACCAGCAGTCCACAGCCCCGCACCAGCCGCCCACAGTCACTCGCCAACCGCCCACAGCCCCTCACCAGCCACCCAAAGTCCCTAACCAGTCCTTTACCAACCGCCCACCTGTCTTTCACCAGCCGCCCACCTGTCCCTCATCCGCCCACCTGTCCCTCACCAACCGTCACCAGCCAACGAAAGACAAAGCTAAGGTGTAACAAATTATGGAGGGTCACTGAGGCCAATTGTGGACTCTGTTGGCACCAAGGATAATTCATATCTGCGGTACTACCTTTCACCACAACCACTCCCCTCCACCACCACCACCTACACCACCATTACTCTCCACCATCACCCTCCACCATCACCACCACTACCCTCCATCATCACCACCACCACCTACATCACCATTCCTCTCCACCATCACCCTCCACCATCACCACCACTACCCTCCATCATCACCACCACCACCTACATCACCATTACTCTCCACCACCACCTTTCACCGCAAACCTTTAATCCGTAAGTTATGGGGTCACTCTCCCTAATGGATGTGTAGAGTGGGCGTGGGCGTGCGTAAAGATGAACATAGGCGTGATGGGCGTGTGTATGTTTAGCTAGGGTGTAATGGATTTGTGTATGGAGAGTCTAGGCGTGAGTATATTAGGCGTGGGGATGGTGGGCGTGGGGATGAGCGTGGGAATAGTAGGCGTGGGGATAGTAGACATGAGGATGGTGGGCGTGGGAATGGTGGACGTGGGGATGGTAGACGTGAGGATGATGGGCGTGGGGATGGTGGACGTGGGGATGGTGGTAAGGGTGGTGGGGCGGGGTGGTGGGCGGCGGTGGTGGGGCGGGGTGGTGGGCGGGGGTGGTGGGCGGGGGGATGGTGGGCGTTTGAATGGTGGGCGTGTGGATGGTGGGCGTGTGGATGGTGGGCGTGTGGATGGTGGGCGTGTGGATGGTGGGCGTGGAGATGGTGGGCGTGGGAATGGTGGGCGTGGGGATGGTGGGCGTGAGGATGGTGGGCAGTATTATTATTGATGATCACAAATTTTAAGAACATTATGTTTTACTAAAAATATAAACAATATGAACAACGGTAAGACAAATCCAACAAAACCGGTAAATCTAAAGCCAGAGACCGGCGCCGGACCTCGGACCATAGGTTAGGGAGTCCCTGATCCAAGCCACCAGGATACTTAAACCAGCAAACGCATGTTAACACTCACCGGAAAGGCTCAACTTCCGGTAGTGTGCGGATTATACGAGAAATGATACCCAAGCAGGCAGGCAGGACATGACTAATTCGACGGATGTGAGTAAAGTTGCAATTATAAGCTGTATGATAGGATTCCTCCGATCATTATGTGGAGCAAAGCTTAATGAGAGATATACAACTAGACTGGTAAGATTCCCACATTATTATCTGTTTCAGTTTACAAATATCTTGATATAAACGACATGAGTTCGTAATGTTTTCTTTTTATTTCGTTTCAGTTGTCGAATATTATTTTCTTCTATTATCAGTTGAAGAACACGTGAACACTACCGACCGTCAGAGTCTTATCGCACAGCTGTCCAAGATAAACTCAACCAATGCTGCCGGATTTCCATCGTAAGTTTAATTCGAAAATAAACAAAGATGATAAAGATGGTCGGGTGTCGCTGGCTGCGTCAGGAGTCTCACACCTTCTACACTAAACTGCCTCATAGAGTTTCATGTAAACCGCGTAAATTCTTGTATTAAAACGGCAACACCTGCGGGAGACCTGCTCATCAACACGTGAGGACAATGTTGCTGTTGTAGTGAAGAATAAACATTCACGTCAACTTTACGAAAATCTGTGAGGCAATATGTATACGTTTTATTGGTCAAAGGGAAGATAAAGGGGTTTCCTGATTGGCCTGATTTAATAGTACATATATCCTCATTGATCAGAATAAAGAGACGCTTGCTTCTGATTGGCCAAAGAATATAGCTCCACCATGATTGGACGGAAACATTAAAAACCTGTCCTCGTCGGCGAAAATTATAAGTTGATTCTTTTCTGATTGGCTAAAAAATAAATAGCCAAAACCTGCTTGGCCAGAGCAAAAACCTACCTTCATTCTCACTGGAAAGAGTAAAGAGAAGCGTTCTTCTGATTGGCCAGAGAATAGATAGTTCCAAAATGATCGCCCAGAACGAATATGCTACACCAATCCCCATTGGCGAAAATAAACACAAGCCTTCTGATTGGCCAGAATAGAGACACACGCCTTCTGATTGGCCAGGATTGAGACACACGCCTTCTGATTGATCAGGATTAAGAAAGACACGTCTTCTGATTGGCCAGAATAAAGATGCACGCGCCTTCTGAGTGCACAGAATAAACACACGCCTTCTAATTGGCCATAAATAGATAAGAGGGGCACGCACTCTGATTGGCTGTAGTGAAGAGAGATGACCTTTGGGTCGTGTTAGCCATAATGGTCTTCTGTGAGTGACCTATTTCTGTACACCTATTTTGGGGGCTCTGACGTCATGCATCCGGGCAACGCGCTCCCCCTCCTCCCTTGGCCCAGGGGAGGAGGGGGGGGCGAGGAAGAAAGATAGAGAGAGAGAAAAAGTGAGAAAGAAGGGAGTGAGTAAGAGAGAGAAGTTAGGAGAATGGAGAAAGAAAAAGAGTGGGGGAGGATGGGAGGGAGAGAGGGAGGGTTAAGGGAGGGGAAAGGATGAAAGGGGAGAGGAAGAAGGGTTAGGGGAGGGTGAGGGAAAGAGGGAGACAGGGCAAAGAAAAGGAGAGACAAGAGATAGACAGACAGAGATAAACGAGACATTCTGAGGAGAAACAAACAGACGGAAATAGTTCATAGTAAGGCGCCTTATTGATGGTATTTAAATACGTGTGTGTGTGTGTGTGTGTGTGTGTGTGTGTGTGTATGTGTGTGTGTGTGTGTGTGTGTGTGTGTTGGTATGATTACAAATATCTCGGTATATATGGTATAGCAGCTGTTGCTATTTTATGTAACAGGGAAGAATACAAATATTCAACCATATATTATGTGACGCGTTACAGCTAAGCTAACAGGTGTCTTCTCCAGCTAGTTAGACCTGTTGTTGCCTTACATCACATGTGAGGCCACAGGTGTCAACACATAAAGCACGTGTATCATAATCAAGAGAGGTATTTTTACACCTGTTTTTCCTGTTACAGATGACCTTATAATAGCAGGTGTGGGTTACAGGTGGACACAGCCTCCTCACCACCCCAAGACAGCCAGGGACAGATGGTGCTGGTGAGACAAATGATGGCAGACGTCATCTGAAATCATTGAACACGTCAAATGAGGCATCACAGATATTTCCTTTAATACAAAAGTTCCAACGATCACAGGTGGCTCTACAGGTTACATAAGCCATCCTAACACCTGAATGATACAGGTGAAGCAGATGTTCTGTGTTACAGGTGTTTCCTTAGTTACTGATGGCAGTATTATCACAGGTGTCATTCTAGCTGGTGACACCCATCACCAACACTTGCGTCTTATTTAAAAAGGTGAGGCAGGTGTTTCCAGACATTGAAAAGTAACATTACAAGTGTTTCCAATGCGTTACAGGTACAGACACACCTATCACCAACACCTGCCTGAAGGTCTACACAGGTGGCCTGAGGACGTTACAGCTGCTACACTAGGTCGAGAACCATCACCATGGCAACGTACTCTATGTGAGGGGGGAGGGAGGGAGAGACAGGAAAGGAGGGAGGAATGGACAGAATGAGGCAGGGAGGGAGGGAAAGGGAGGGAGGGGGAGGGAGGGAGGAAGGAAGAAGGTTTGGTTAGGGAGAGGAGGTGAGAGTGAGGGAGGGTTGGTGGGGTGAAGGAGAGGTGAGGTATGAGGGTGAGGAAGGAGGGAGGTGAGGGAGAAGGGAGGGAGGGGGAGGTGTGATGAAGGGAAGAGGGAGGGAGGGAGCAGGGAGAGAGGAGTGGGGTGTGGTTGAAGGGAGGCAGGAAGGAAGGAAGGGAGGAGGGAGGTATGGAAGCAGGAGGGAGAAGGGAAAGAAGGAGGTGTGGGCAAAAGAGGGAGGAATGAATGAGGGGATGGTGGGAGGAGGGAGGTAGAAGTGAACCACACCATGTACAGTGACTCAGTGAACCACACCATGTACAGTGACTCAATGAACCACACCATGTACAGTGACTCAATGAACCACATCATGCACAGTGACTCAATGAACCACACCATGCACAGTGACTCAATGAACCACACCATGCACAGTGACTCAATGAACCACACCATGTACAGTGACTCAATGAACCACACCATGCACAGTGACTCAATGAACCACACCATGCACAGTGACTCAATGAACCACACCATGTACAGTGACTCAGTGAACCACACCATGTACAGTGACTCAATGAACCACACCATGTACAGTGACTCAATGAACCACACCATGCACAGTGACTCAATGAACCACACCATGTACAGTGACTCAATGAACCACACCATGCACAGTGACTCAATGAACCACACCATGTACAGTGACTCAGGGAACACAAACTAAAGTCCTTGTACTGTATGTGTACGTATAAATATTTTCTACAGTGCAAGTGTAATTAAGAGTATGTTGTTTTAATAAGTATGCATGTATGTGTTGTTTTATAGGGTTAGTGTATGTATATGCGCTAACTGTATGTGTAATCAGGCTATTTTTTTATAAGTATTTATACATTTGTGTAATGTATACCTTATGTATATTGTATTGTATGTAGCACCATGGTTGAAGTATTTTGCTATCTGGCCATTTGCTGTATGTCTGTATTGACTGTTCCTCTCCCTGACATTGCGAAAGTCACCCGGCTAACGATCACAGGTCATATCCGAGACAAAGTGAAAGAAGAGAGAGAGAGAGAGAGAGAGAGAGAGAGAGAGACTTAAGTTGCGCCATCAGTTCTCTTTTAACTCCTCCTCCACGCACCAGGTAAATACCTCAATTACTTCTTTCACTTCTCTCTAACGTAACGAGATGCAAGAGCTACCCTCCTCCCCCTTTTATCCAATTAAAATATTCAGTATGTAACCCTATATTTTTTGGGGAGCTTCATTTTACAATAACATTAAGACGAATACACTCGGTACATGTTTAAAATATAAATAAAACCTTCTTAGTTTTGTGTATAAAAAATATGTTACTTCACTTTGGGTAACATTTTCAAGCGTGTATTT